ATTCGCTTGTGCTTCAGGTTTGATTTCGCGTCTTTATTCTTGTATCCGAAGGAACGGAGGCCACTGTACGTACGTATCACTGCGGTACGCATTGAAAATCCCGTTGTCGTCGCTGACTCACACCCCCGCCCGCACCGCGCCAGTCCCAGGCAGAAAGGCACACTCCCATCTTGCATTTCTTGCTTGGGTATCGGCACTCGTCGCCTTTCGTTTCTTCCTTCGCTGCGATTTTTTGGAGATTCCTTGGCGTTCCGGTGAGGCACGCCTGCACTCCAGACGACCCGCCCGAACCGTCGCCGACTTTTTATCTTCAAGCAGTGGCCTTTTTCAACCCATTTAAGGCTCTCCGGTGTGCGACGGGGCCTATCGCTACCCGTTATTTCTCCGTCGGGCGTCTTGCAGCAAGGGCTTACCGCATTTATTTGTGCTTCGCCACGCCATGGCCGCCGCCCCGTCGCCCGCCGATGTCATTCACTCCGTGCCACAGTCTCCAGGGGCCAACGCACCAAACTTGCCATCACCTGAAGTGGCCCGTTCGCGTCGATTCGTCTTTTCTCCGCGCTCTGATTTTCCGAAAACGCCACCAGCCTTCCGCCGCCTTCTCCCCACGTCGCCTCATCGTCGTTCGTCCCACGGATTTTTTGGAGGTGCAGACCGTCGCCCTGTAAGCGATATTGATGATGTCCGTGAGAGCGATGAATCCTCCATACCGCCATTTATTCCCTCACCTCCAAAGAAAAAGACTTGGCTCGAGCGCACTTGCGGTTGCTTTGGGAAAACGCCAACACCGGAGGATGAGACGGAAAGGATAAGTGCAGAGCACGCTCATTGGTTACGGTCCCTTGAACCGACGTATGAACCGAAGAGTCCGCTGCTGCCAAGCCTTCCCCCTAACACGAAGGACCGTATATGTTTGGTACTAGACTTGGATGAAACCCTTGTCCACAGTAGCTTCGACCCGTTTCCGAGCGGTTCCGATTTTTCTGTGCCGCTGGAGATGCCCGGTGACAAGCACACGGTGTACGTTAAGAAGCGGCCGTTTGTAGATGAATTTTTGGCGACATGCAGCCAGTCGTTTGAGGTGGTAGTTTTTACGGCGTCGCTGGCTTTGTATGCGAACCCGGTTATGGATGTACTTGATCCAAGCAGGCATGTTAAGCTTAGATTGTATCGCGAACATTGCGTTCTTGTCGGTGGTTGTTACGTGAAGGATATGAGAAAGCTGGGTCGCGATTTGAAACGGGTTTTCATCCTGGATAATAGTCCGTTGAGCTACGCATTGCAACCGGAGAACGCTATACCAATCAGTTCTTGGTACGATGATGAAAACGACAGAGAGTTAGAGAAGACGCTTTCTCGGCTGGAGCAAGCGAAGAATCTTAAGGACGTGAGACAGATATCAAGATAAGAAAAGGCATGCGGTTGTATGAGCAAGCTGAACGGTATTTTTGGGAAGGGAGCTGTGTTTACATTGTTTTGTTTGTGTAGTCGAGGATATATTTATGTTCGATTTCTCGGTGATCAAAATTTTGGGATTCTCTCGTACGTTACCGGTGTGATTTGACGCACCAGTCTAGAGGTTGCACAGCCTTTCTCCGTCGGAACAGCCCGACTGCATCTTGAGCGGAATGGAAACTACAAACGCCAAAATGAGTACGGTTGGCCGCTCATGATAGTTAGTATGGTAGAAATACCATTTGAGCTTCCCGGTGAGCGAACCCTGATCCTACGAGTCGTCGCCTCATGTCCGGGGTATAGCGTCGAGTTCAAGACGGAGCCGCGGAACGGCATGACCAAGTAGAAAAGAAGGTCTTATTCGACAGGGAGGATGGTCACGACCCGATATTTTGCAAGTAATCGAAGTACTGCGTGCTTTTTAGATATAAATTTAGTCTGTCGCCACGCATGCAGCGATCGTTCTCTATATGGAAGGTCACCAGGGCAAGTCTCCAAATCAGTAAGAATGTGGTGTTGTGGACTTGGTTTTGGAAGCGGCTGGAAGTAAGTCATGCTTTGTACACGGGAGAGCAAATGATGTGAGAGAAGCCGATCGCGCAAGGCGCAGTGAGTGAATTGTTTTAGAAGAAATGGCCTGACGTCAGCGCTGGGAATTGAGGACGTATGAACAAACCTTCGATTCTTTCTCCACTTTCGTCCATATGGTACAGTGTGACTTTTCCATCGTCTGCTTCTCTCTACGGTGCTCTGCAGATGGAAGGCGACTATCATTCTTTCAGAAGTTTCATGAAAGTGCGTTGGAAGTTCCAACTTGGAACCGTAGCGGGGTCGGTGCGGAAGCCATTTTGAAAGCGAAACGATACGTCCACTTGGCAGCTCTCTTGGCTATTCTCTCGTTGCCGTGTGCGCGATACGGCTTGCATCTAATCAGAGCGGCTTGCTACAGTATCGACGAGAGATTTTCTTCGACGTCTGTAATTTGCACAGCTGTGCACGTGCCATCTGTGAGGTACCAAGGGTACAGTATGATACAAAACTTTCTCGTCTGTTCTTTCTACTAGGTGTTCTTTCTATTCTTTCTATTGTACTAGGTGGCAGGCTATCACTAAACGTGTACACCTACCCTTCGAAGGGTAACTGCAGCGCAGTACGCGTAGTAGTGCGCCTTCTGGAGAGTGCTCATAGTGCCAATTAGAGGGGGGTTGCACTATACATGCGCCGTCATAAGCCCCATTCTATATGGCCAACAATCAGTCCAATCATTAATAGACAAGTACCCAACACTGATCTCCACCAGAACCTCACATCACCTCCCGTTCTGATCTTTTGGCTTCCCCTGCCTGCAACAACAACAGCATCCGATCCATCCGCGTCCCACCTTGCAAAGAGTTTGCCAAGACAACCGTGTTGAATTCCCCGAAATCATTCATCAGCTGCCATTCCCGTCTTCCCAACCGACTTTCTGCTCGTACCTTATCTTATCATTCTTCCTCCCCTCGCGAGTTGACGTGCGCAAGAAGATGGCGTTTGTACCCGCACCAGGCTTGACCGTCGGCCCCAAATCCTTCCGCGGCACCTCCATTTCCTCGGCCCGCGTCGCGCCGCGCGTGGCGTCGTTGCGAATGGCCGCCGATACTGATTCCAAGGAGCCCTCCCGCTTCACCACTGTTGGAAATTCCTTGTGGAAAGAGAATGTCTTCACAGGCGGCTTTCCGGGCGGTGAAGCCTTCTACAGGGCTTGGACTGACGACGGGATGACCAAGAACGTTCCTGACATGCCCGCCGACATGCAGTCCAACGCCAAGTTTAAGCCCGAAGTCGAGGAGAAGACGGGCTTGATAGCTAGGCTTGACGCAATGGAGTTCTTCAAGGGTGCTTTCGTAAGGTCTCCTAAACCAACCCCACCCTCCGGCGAGGACGGTGAGGAGGCACCCGAGGAAGACCCAGAGAGCGAAGCGAAGAATTCAGACGTCGCCCCGGACGAGTCATTGTATTCGGCCTACTTCCCTGCCAGCATACGGAATTTGGCACCGGAAATCACCATGGTTTACGAGAAAAGCTTTGAGAAGGACCGCGTATCTATGGCCATGACGGAAGTCACGGCCTCCGCAACTGACGTCTACTATCCGAAACAAATGAAGAACAAGGCGCCAATCATCGATATTTCGTATAATGGTAGCCTAGTGGGTGCATCGGTTTCTGTGCGCATGGGCGATATTGAGGGTCTTCCAACGATGCCATCTCCAGCAAATGTGGGAGATCCCGTTACAGCTCTTGTTCCGGGTCGGGGCGGCGGCTTAAAGCTCGAAATTTCTGTTGAGGGGGATGACTCAATCAAGATCTAACGAGAATCTGTATAGAATAGATATACCGACGACGTTAATCGAGTGCTGCGCTATACAACAGTTTTTTCTTTCCGAACCCCTCCCCTTTCGTTCGTCCGAGATACAGCCTATGCGAATCTCGGGGAAGTGCTAAAATCAATCGACATTCGTGTCACGGCATCTAGTTGTTTGCGATAATCCCAGTCAATGGTAAGAGTTAGGATCAAACTTCACAGCAGGCGCCAGTCCTGTTGCACAGTAGCTGTAGTAGTGCAAGAATTCGTTTTTCGCACCTCGCATCGCTGGACTGCTGAGGCAACTACTCGTCAGTATTTCGGGTTGGGTTTTCAGAGGATACAGCAGAATGCACACGGTTGCACAAGTCCGGTACTTAGAAAGCTGTGAAGACTTTTCATGAGTATCAAGTAGATCATTGACGTTTTAAAAAGGCAGAACTTAATTTGACTCAAGAATATCATGAATATCGCTTGCCGGCTGCGACGCATTGCCTGGGAGTGAAATAAAACTGATCCGAGCTTGCCTCACTCGAGACGGCTTTGATCAAAGCATTTTTCCAACAAGAGAGTTACTCATCGGCAGACACTTCTTCGCATGCTTCTGCCTCATTCCATCGTTGACTTGTGATGCAGCATTCCAACGCTCTCTGGACAAACTAATTCGGGCAATTCCTGAACTGCTTCCGCTGATAACAACCAAACACAGCATCTAGGTACATCACTAAATCCAATCCCCGTACCATTCATGGCCAGGCATTGATAAATGTTGACTCTAAACGCCAAATTGCTCGGTGAGTGCTGAGCAAAGGTTTCAAATGTCGTTACACACAGTCATCTGCGGGCTCTCGTGGGACAGGCGGCTCTCTCTCTCTCAGACGATGTTCGCTCTCCATCCCTCGATGGCCATATGGAGTGCTGCCTTCGTACCTCCCCCGCTTTTGCTCACGTCCATCATACGATGGTCTCATCGGTTGCGGCCTGTAACCCCTGGGGTCCCATCCCCGGTCGTCGTACCGTCCCCGTCCATCACTCTCGTGTCTTCTCCCCCCATACCCGCCGCGTCTGTCCATTCCATACGGGTCGCCGTGCTCATACCCGCCGTAGCCCCTCGACCTCTTCATCCCAGAGTATCGGTCCCTGATGCGCCGGTCAATTCCCATGTACTCACCCGGGGTCCGCGAATGCGGTGCCTTCCGCTTCGCCTTCTCAACAGCTATTCGACGCCCCTCAAATTCAAAATCTCGCAGCGCTTCGATCGCTTGCGCAGCCTCCTCCTCGTGAAGCATTTTCACAAACCCAAACCCCCGGCATTCTCTCGAATGCGGGTCACGGACCACCACCGCAGAGTCCACTTTTCCAAACTGCGTCGTCGACAGAACCATATCGCATTTCGCAACAATCGCAAGCGCATCGCATCAAGCAAAGTCAACCACAAAACGTCAGAAACCAAATCCCACATGTGCAGCCGCAACTCCACCCCCAATTCCCCTCTCTACGCCCAATGCATCCATGCATCCGTTTCTGACATTCCTGCTCCATCATTCACTCTCAAACATCTACCACCTCTCCCTCTTACAAAAATGCAAACCGTACCTTACTGAACAGAACCACCAATTGTTCCTCAATCACATGCTTTGCCACGTTTCTCACAAACAAATTCACAAGTTCACTACCACCTTGCTCATCGGATGGCCCTGAGCCGCCGTTCCTTTCTCTTTCTTTGCCACGTACTTCTTCCCCGTCAGCTTTCTCAGCATCCCTCCGCTCCTCCCCACCTTCGCGACGTCCCTCATGGTCCTCACCTCTCGCCTCATCCCGCGGCTCCTTCACCTCTCCCCGCCCCACTCCTCTCTCTTCATCCGCATTTTGCTTCTCCGTTGACGGCCCAGTCTCACGATCTTCACCAGCTTCCTTGCCGCTTTCCCGCCTCTCATCCTCATCCACCAGTGAAGATTTGTGCTCGTGCTCCACACGGTCGGTCTCCTCTGCGTCGCCGTCATATTGTGTCTCGGCACCGCGGGTTTCCTTTCGTTCCTCCTTCTGGTCTGAACGAGACTCACGATCCTCTATGACATCTCTGTCGCCCTTTGGTGAGCTCATGTTTTCCAATGACCGTGCGATATACACTTCAGCTGTTGTATGCTGGCCGCGTAAAATTTACAGCTCGCTCTCCCAGGGGTCGTTCAGTCAACACTCGTATTGCGTATTCTCGGGAAACACAAACTTTGTCCTCGTGACACCTTTCGCAGCTGTAGTTGGACGGTCTTGCTCGTCGTTGTTTCGAAGACGTTGGTCAAGGGACGAGACGGAGTGCCAAGGAATGATTTTCGGTAGGGTGCAATTGGAAAATTTTAGGTCCTGTCCTTTCCAGTGTCTATTCCTCCCCCTCCATTTGCCCCCAGGTGGCTGTATTGCTGTATTGGGTACGTGTACGTGTACTGTATTGTAGACACTATTGTACAGAGAGGCGACCCTTTCAAGGCCTGTCTCACGCTTGCATCCTGAGTTGACGACCTCTCGTCTTTTGACCGACGCAGTGTTTATGAAAGGGCATGTGTTATGCGGGTCTGGTTATTTACCAAAATGTTGTCATCGGCAACTGCCGTGCGAAATCTGGTCAAAGAGGTTGAGAGCACTTTTCAACTCTCCAGTTGTTTGAAAAGCACGGGATTTTGTTGGCGGAAAGGGTCCACCGGGACAGCGGATGTCGCCTCGTAAAACGCCGAGTCAATCACAAAGTATTGCCTTCCTACTCTACAAGAATGCCTGCGGGCAGATATGCCTCTCGATCCAAACGGCCTGCTATATTTATCACTGGTTGATTCTCATGAACTAACGAGGACGCCTACATTGGCCAGCCTTTCTTGAGATATCGTGCACTGGTTAATCGTGAAACATGCTGGACTTCGTTGAAGAGTGAATGGCGATCATAGGTCGCTATCTCGCACACGATTGTGTTCGCCAGGGCTGGAGTAAGACGCACAATGCTATTGTCTCAATGATGTCAGGTACGAATGAGACAAGTATGTACGGCGATCTTCGATCTTGTCTAACGATGATCTGCTTGGGTGTCGGCATCATCATCGCTGCTTGCGACATATGGAACCCAATGATGTCGACGGCAATGCGCGTGCTCACTTCGAGGCTCCGCATTCAGCCTGCAGAGGACCGATGCATAAAGTGAATACGAATGCGCGAACATAAAAATGTGAGAGAAAATTGTTAGTCGTGAATGGGGCGATCGCGGGTGCTACTACCGTTGCTGGCAATAGATCTGAGATCTTCCCGTCGTAATAGCAGGCTTAGAAATCAGTCTATGCTTATCACGGGCGATAGAACAGACATCTGATCGCGAAGATACACAAGGATGACATCCCCGCCAATTTGACACTTAACAAGCATCGAGGAGCGAGAATGTCGATTAGGGGAGGTTGCAAAGCAACAGAAAAAATTGAAAAAGTCGATCACTTAATGTTCCCAAGCCCAGTCTCCTTTAGTAAAAAGCGAAAAGAGAATTTCATGACAAGGAGAACGCGATCTGTGGGGGGAGGGGGGGGGATGATGTCGCAGGCGACCGGGAGACTTTATACGGAAGCACGGAAGTGAAACCCGAGGCCGTCACGAGGGATCCCCGAAAATTTTTCTATCAAAAGTGAATATGAGATTGCTGCAAGGACTGTACAGCACAAGCGACGCGCACCGGGGCGCACGGCCGAAACTATGGATCAGCATCAGATCAGAATGGGTTTCAAATATAACGTAAAAAATGTATTGTCTTGTCTTGCCGAGCCGAATGGGGTTACTCACAGAATGAGACGACACGTGTACAGGCTGCATGCGCACCACGTGTCCACTCTTGGATGCGATACGGTGCCAGAATTCTCGACCCACTCGCATGTTCATCGGCGGTGTGAATCCGGGCGGACATCTCACAGATATCAATCCGCGTAATTAGTTCCTTCAATTCCTCAATCCGCTTTCCTTCTTTCAGGGCGAACCCAAAGGCAATCCTTAGTGGAAGTTTGCGAGCTCAGCAAAAATGTACCTCATGAAGACGGAAGACGGGACCTATACGCTGAAGAAGGTCAGCCCAGATGGCAAACCGACAAAGTCTGCCCACCCATGTACGCCTCAATGTTCTATGCTCTTGTGGGACCTTCTTCGCACATGCAAGCTCTAACAGGCTTAATCCTTTCCTCAACGCTTTTTCTTCTCTCGAAACAGGTCGCTTCTCCCCAGATGACCAGTACAGCCGGCACCGTGTGATTACCAAGAAGAGGTTTGGTAGGTGATTGCCATCTCACGACATTTGATGAGTAGCTCCATGTGGTAATTGTCAAATTATGTCTCCTGGAACCTTATTCGCAGCGGCCCTTGTCACGTCTGTGCATATTTTCGTACTGACCTTAGTCCCGCTCAATGATGCCTATTTTGCTACATATACAGGTCTTTTGCCGACCCAGAGGAAGACCAGCTCTGAGAAGTAACGTACCGCAGTAGTTTCGCCGTATGGTTCGCGGGCGGAGCGATGCGGAGTTTAGAAGTCTCGGCAAGTAGTCGGTTGTCCTTGTACCTGTGAATATGTCCGCTATTTGCTCATTGTAAACACTGTCCCGAGAATTTCGAGGAGCGCCATTGCTGCTCCTGTTCCTCATTCTGCGCTTGTTCAGAAATAGCTCGAATCTTGCTACATGCTGCACTGGAGAGAGTGCCCTCTCTCGTCAAAAGTACACACTTCGGTTTTAAGAGAGGTGAAAACGGAGTCGTGGCTTTGCGCAGACATCCTTCAGAAAGCATGGCTCCATTATCGACTACATCGTACCGCATGCTCTGTCAGCTGCCACACGCTCTATCTATTGTAGAAATGCACTTTTCCGTCCCGTGATACTTACTATGTATTTAAGCGGAAGCGTAGTGCCCGCCGGAATTACTGGTTGTGCATACGCCTATGCACTACCAAACTTTTATACACAACGCTACGATAAGAGTAGTAGCAGGAACTTCTCACTCAGCTATCCCATACCCGCAAGCGCAAACAACAATGCAACAATACACTGCATTATCCCAACTCTATTACACAACGGAAATCAGACCACACCGTCCCACATCTAGTTCTGAGCACCAGCTTCCGTCCGCTTCTCCTTCAGATTTGCGATAGCTGCCTTGATGGCATCTTCAGCGAGCATGGAGCAGTGCAATTTAACAGGAGGTAGACTCAATTCCTTTGCGATATCACTGTTCTTGATCTTCCTAGCGTCATCTACGTTCATGCCCTTCACCCATTCGGTTGCTAACGACGACGACGCAATGGCAGATCCGCAGCCAAACGTTTTGAAAGCAGTCTCCACAATTTCCCCGTCGTTATTCACTCGGATTTGAAGTTTCATTACGTCACCGCATGCAGGGGCTCCGACGAGACCTGTGCCCACGTTCTTGTCGTTCTTGTCCATACTTCCGACATTTCTGTGAAACAAGGTGACAATAAATTTCACAGATTAGTTTTCTTCGAGTTGGCAGAGTCGCAATAGAAATTAAATGAAGTCGGGTGATACACATACCTTGGATTCTCGTAGTGGTCAATTACCTTGTCGTGGTAGGCCCGAGCGGCACTGGCGTACGACGGGCGCACGGCATGTCGTGCTTTGGTGACCGCTGCAACGCTGAGCCTCTGCATTTCAGATGATACACGAATTCACAGTCTCCTTTCTCAACGAAAAAAATGGAAGCACGGTTGTTTAGACAAGCCGATGTCGAGAAATTCTGGTTCATCTGTAGCTACATTAGTAGGAGATAGCTCCATGCTCTACTGTAACCGAGGTATCATACCGGAACGAAGAAAAAATTTGATGACTTCTTGAGTCTCGCCGTAAACTATTATTTTCTGTTTACTTTTCGGTGGACAGTATGACAGCCCCATGGAGAAAAATTTGTGGTTCTCAGCCGCCTAGAACAAGGCCAATGTGTGTGGGGGCATTCGCAGAGAAAATTTAAGACGTGTGAATGGACAGGCTGCCGCAATGGTCAATATGCCCTGAGGCCGTGAAGACATGTCGTAACAGTGCCATTTTGGGTTAGACCTCGCGTGTTAGATAAGGAACATGTTACAAGCTTTTGAACCTGGTTAGATCTCGCAAAGAACACTGGATCATGATCCCAGCATGCTCTCGTGGTCATCCCCATAATTCCCCGACTGCTCCTGCAGCTAAGTAACGTTTGGAGTCCTTTATAACTTTTTTGCACACAAGGGGCTCAGTGAAGGTTGCCCCTCAGGTCAGATATTCCTCACTCGTTCCTCACTCTGTTGCAGTCACTCTTTCACAATTTTCAATATTCTTCAGTCAGAAGCAGCATTACAAATGATGAATTGCTTCTTCTTCCCGCTGAGTTGTGCAACCGAAATGCTTTGCAGTTGTAGCCCAATCTTTAACACCGGGTTGATCGCCGCATTAGGAAGCTTTACCCATAGAGAAGTTCTATCTAGTCTCTCTAGAGGGGACACAAAGCCTGACACAAGGCCCGCTTTTTAAGAGTCGTTTTTTTTGCATCTTAGTTAAAATTGTGCTACAACGAAAAGATCCCCTGCTTTGTTCAATGAGCTCCAATCTATGGCTAGATAGAGTTTGCTACTGTGTAACAAACTTTCCTCTTAAGCAGGTCCCGATCTTCCATATCTAGAAGAAGGCCTTCATGGCTATGCCGCACAAAACGGCATCAAGGTTCTAGGTTGGTACGTGCGAAGAACGGTCAAGAAATATATCGCACATTTCCAGCTCAATCACAGTCCTTTTTTAATCTCACGCAGACCTCAACCTAGCTTTTTGAAAAAGGAAAGGTCTCCTAGCGAGTCTTTAGGCTCGTTACAGATGCTGAAGCACCATCTTAAGGAGATTTGTTTTTGCTTTTCATTGATAAAACTGTTCGGCATCACTAATAACGACGGTTGCAATCACACTGAAATCGACGAAAGAAACCTTTACCGCACAAAAGTGCACGAACGGCTCCAACAAGAATTTAAATCAGCTCAGTTCTACGCAGTCGCTGCTCTGTCTATTACAAGCAACATAAATACAGAGATAAGCCAAAACAATCTGCACCACCATGGACTGGTACCTTAACTCATTTCTATGGTAGTCTAGGATTCACGCGCTTTAACGACGAGAGATCGCGTAGCCACGGTCCCCTGACAACCACTAGAAAACTTTCGAAGACTACAGGAATTGTTGCGCTCCTTGTTTGAGGGTGTTTCGGACATGATTGCGAAAATCTCGAGCGGCTTCAATATTATACATTTCAAAGGAAGTGTGGAGTCAGAGTTCTATAATTGTTAGAAATACTGCCTTGAGGCCAGGACAGGAATTTACAAGTATTCAATCAAGCGTCAAGGATATGCACCCTCAACTTTTTCTCTACCTGGCATCTGCTGCTCTGAACGCTGGTTTCACCAAATGACCTAGGGAAGCCGGACAACTAACATGGCCGCCAGCTTCTACGCGTACGTCGCCTCGATCAATCTTCGACGTAAACCAAATCGCAGTCCAAGGCTCACGGGTCGACCGCTTTTACGAATCCACCTTATTTTTTAACGGGTTTATCAGAACAGATAGATAGTTATCCGGAAATGCAATTGGAGATAAGTCGTTCATGGTTTTCAGGCAATCTTATCATTGAGGGAGGACAGTGAGGTCGCTTCTTGAGACGTGCATAAGCAGCTGTGAAACATATGCTCGCATTGAACCGATAACTTGCCCGTATGGCGATGTCACCTTGTGCTATCTTGATGCACCGCAAAATTAGGTCAATGAATAGGAACCGTATTGTTATGAAATGAAGAAAAGGCAAGGAAAAGGAGCATGATTGTCCTGAAGCCAAAGATGCAGCACAAATCTAATAACGCACAGCAGCGGCTGATGAGCATCACGATAAATAGCCAAACCTGCACAGTACATGCCCCTTCACCTACGACTCTCCAGTCGAGCGCCGAGAGGTCGCGAACTGGAGCGAGTCTTTCACACTCCGGAGTGGAAAAGAGTTCTTGAAAGGGTCGGAACTACCATACAGTACACGTATACATACGGAACAGAGTACCGTACAGCAAAACCCCATCCTGGGGGCAGGCAGAGGGGGAGCAATGGGAAGTTGAACAGACAGGACCAGAATTTTTCAAATTTGCACCCTACCGAAATTCTACCTCGCTATCACAACTTGACTCATCACTTCAACAGTGCCTACAAAGCGCCGACGAGCAAGACCGTCCAACTACAGTTGCACAAGGTGTCACGAGGACAAAGTTTGCGTTTCCCGAGAATACGCAATACGAGTGTTGACTGAACGACCCCTGGGAGAGCGAGCTGTAAATTTTGCGCGGTCAGCATACCACAGCTGAAGTGTATATCGCACGGTCATTGGAAAACATGAGCTCACCAAAGGACGACAGAGATGTCATGGAGGATCGTGAGTCTCGTTCAGACCAGAAGGAGGAACGAAAGGAAACCCGCGGTGCCGAGACACAATATGACGGCGACGCAGAGGAGACCGACCGTGTGGAGCACGAGCACAAACCTTCACTGGGGGATGAGGATGAGAGGCGGGAAAGCGGCAAGGAAGCTGGTGAAGATCGTGAGACTGGGCCGTCAACGGAGAAGCAAAATGCGGATGAAGAGAGAGGAGTGGGGCGGGGAGAGGTGAAGGAGCCGCGGGATGAGGCGAGAGGTGAGGACCATGAGGGACGTCGCGAAGGTGGGGAGGAGCGGAGGGATGCTGAGAAAGCTGACGGGGAAGAAGTACGTGGCAAAGAAAGAGAAAGGAACGGCGGCTCAGGGCCATCCGATGAGCAAGGTGGTAGTGAACTTGTGAATTTGTTTGTGAGAAACGTGGCAAAGCATGTGATTGAGGAACAATTGGTGGTTCTGTTCAGTAAGGTACGGTTTGCATTTTTGTAAGAGGGAGAGGTGGTAGATGTTTGAGAGTGAATGATGGAGCAGGAATGTCAGAAACGGATGCATGGATGCATTGGGCGTAGAGAGGGGAATTGGGGGTGGAGTTGCGGCTGCACATGTGGGATTTGGTTTCTGACGTTTTGTGGTTGACTTTGCTTGATGCGATGCGCTTGCGATTGTTGCGAAATGCGATATGGTTCTGTCGACGACGCAGTTTGGAAAAGTGGACTCTGCGGTGGTGGTCCGTGACCCGCATTCGAGAGAATGCCGGGGGTTTGGGTTTGTGAAAATGCTTCACGAGGAGGAGGCTGCGCAAGCGATCGAAGCGCTGCGAGATTTTGAATTTGAGGGGCGTCGAATAGCTGTTGAGAAGGCGAAGCGGAAGGCACCGCATTCGCGGACCCCGGGTGAGTACATGGGAATTGACCGGCGCATCAGGGACCGATACTCTGGGATGAAGAGGTCGAGGGACTACGGCGGGTATGAGCACGGCGACCCGTATGGAATGGACAGACGCGGCGGGTATGGGGGGAGAAGACACGAAAGTGATGGACGGGGACGGTACGACGACCGGGGATGGGACCCCAGGGGTTACAGGCCGCAACCGATGAGACCATCGTATGATGGACGTGAGCAAAAGCGGGGGAGGTACGAGGGTGGTGGCGGATATGGCTCTAGGGCGGATGCAGGGGAGCAGCGGTTCAGGGAGAGGGAGGCACCAGTGCCCCGAGAGCCCGCTGATGATTTTGTATGACCGTATAATGTGAGGTTTGGGCTCTTGGCGTGTTTGCTCGGGCGAATATTGCTGCAAAAAGAAGCTTGTTGCGTGTTTTTTGCGCAGGCGCTTTGAAAATGGTTGACGACGCGTGAGGTAGCAGTTGGGGGAAGAGGATCGCATTCGCTAAGGAATATTTGAAAAGTGAAACAGGAGTTTGTCGTTTTTTGAATGAGGCTTATTGGGTATCACATGCAAGCCTGTGGGAAAGTATGGGGTAGTTTGGAATGTGCGAGGAAGAGTTGTGTACATACGGTATTCTTTGTTTTGAATGTGGGGAGAAGGAATAAAAGTGACATGAATTGTCAGATAGAGCGAGGAGTGATGATGGCATGGCTCTTGGTTGTTTGCAAAGGCGCGAAGGTGACAGACGATTCCCTTGGGAAGGGGACCACCATTATCATGGGGGAGGGTGAAGGGAGATGTCATGGAACGCGGATTCCATTTTCCACTGTGCTGTTCTCGACAGGATCGTACGCGAGCTGTCGAAACCCTCCCTTTATTAGCAAATTACAGGGCCCGTTTACGACAGTAGCTCCAGCGGAGGTCAGAACAACCAATGGAGAGGGCGAGTGCTTATGTAACCACTCCCCTCATGATGATGCGTGCCCACACTATCCAAGGGCTTCTAGCAATTCCCCTTCCTCTGCCTCCTCGCGCGCTCCATCTCATGGCTGTCGCCCCTTCCCACCTTCACCTTGACCGTCAAGTCTCTCGCTGAGCTCCTCTTTGACAACAATCCCATCTCCTGCCCCTCCCTCTCTCCCGAGGAGGCCGCTGTCTTCCTCTCCTCGTCCATCTCCCGCTAACGACGCTCCCGCCCTGGGCCCTCGCATGAACGTGAGCGGACAGGGATATGGGAGTCGCAGCTTCGCGAGCCGATGAGTTTGCCCCCACTCAAGAATCCACCGATGGCGACCTTCCTGAATCTTCCGCTTCTTTATCCAACGATGATCGCAACGGAAGCAGTCTCGCCAACATTACCATCACCGAGTTCATTTGGAGCTTTGGGGGGAGCTCCGTTTACGTTACAGGCGCTTGGGACGATTGGAGGGTAAAAGCAGCGCTCTCCAGAACTTCCCCCACCGATTTCACAGCAGTCTTGGCTCTTCCTGTCGGCACTTTCCAATACAAGTTTATCGTCGATGGAAACTGGAAGTAAGTCGCCACAACCCATGCGGATCTTCGCCATTTTTTTTTACAAATACTCGTTCCCTTCCACATGCGCTGCCGCCTGCACACAATGACACGATCCCCTTCACAAAATCATCTCATCGCTCACCAAAATCTCTTTCTACTCGGTCTTTGTGACGATCCCTCAACCCTGCACAAAACAGACATAGTCCGGCTCTCCCCACAGAACGGGACCAGCACGGCAACCTCAACAACATAGTCGTAGTGAAAGCAAATGTCCCCGAGTACGACTCCAACGTCCAAATCTACCCGCAAGATGTCCCCAATTCTCCCGTCGAATCGTACGATTTCTCTATACTTCCGCAAGAGGATCACACCACTGAACCCCCTACCCTGCCACGGTTACTCGCGAGTGCCCCCCTCGATGCCATGACAGACGAACCACGACACGGTGCAGATTTCGTTCGATTCAACCACATGTTCTCGACCAACTCGGACATCCCGTATGGAACGCACGAAATCTCAACCTTGGCTTCTGAGACTAGATATAAGAACAAGATTATCACCACAATTTTGATCGCTTCTACAAACAAGGCTCAAGATCGACTCTCTGTTCCTGTGCAAGGCTATAGACAGACAAGGACCCATCCCGTTCCGATTACACATCAATCTATGGGTGAGTCGCAGTCTTTGATTTTGGATGCCCTGAATAATGTCTGAGAAGTAGATCCCCCCGTTGTTGGATTCCTTGCCCAGAGCAGCTGATGTGCAAACCATACAACAGATAACAAACAACTTCTTCGCTCAACCAGATGTAATTAAAGTGTAAAGGCTCTTCTAAATTTCACAAGTCCAGTTTATTCGACATATTCGTTTTTATGTTGCCCCCGCCCTACGGATAGCGTTCATGCCGGGAAGAATCTTCAAGTTCAATTTGTTCTCTATTGTCTTCAACTAGAACTGTATCACGCGTCAATGTGTCTTCAGAAAGTTGTCTATCCCGTCGCGACAAAGCGAGAACAGCTAGAGAAGGCAATATAAACCAGAATCCGAAAAACGTCACCCTCCCCTTCCCACCACGAGTCTTCCACGTGACTGGTCCAAAGATTCCCCAAGGCATGGTTGTCACCGCTTTGCAGATGACAAACAGCCTCAAGAACCTTCGCACGAAACAATGCCACCTCCCGATTTTGGCCCCACCAGATGCACTGTGCCCCAGGATCTCGTTGCCGACCGGATCGAGAATTCACGGTGATACGCAGCCCCTTGATGCTTAGCCTCGAGCGTAGCGAGGACTGCAGCGTGACTGTAGGCGTAGGCGCTGAGCGGATAGAGACGCTTCAAAATAAGTGCAAGGATTTTCACAAATCTGTTCAAAAAAAACAGGTGGAGCCGAACTGGTGCCTTGACCTTGGGGTAAAGGCGTTTTCGAGAGATGGTAATTTTTGTCTGGCACTACGGGAAGGGGTCATCGATGTGAGACAGATTGACTCACTAAAGATGGTTTCGGCTGAAGGCAACTGGGTCGTCCTGGCGGATCTGAATCACGACGTTCGTTGATGAATAAAAACATAGAAACCGGTTTGTCTTGCGTTCAATTTCTTTGAGAGACTCTGCCCTCTTGTCCCATGATAGAAAGAGTCTTGGTAGATGGTGGTTGCAAGACTCAGTGAGCACAGTTTCGTTGATGTTTGAACGGAGTAAGTAATGCGACCATAATGCCTATGGATAGGTAAATCGTGTTGCGACTGCCGCAACTTAAAGAGTGCCCCCCCACCATTTTCTGGCTCGTGTCTAGATCTCATTTAACTTCATGCGGGGCCAGTTTTAACGGGGTAGATTGCACTTAAAGAGAAATCATTAAAGATGAAAACGTTATAGAGTTGTGCTTGTCTCTTCCTACGGCGAAGGGATAGAGTTAGGTGTTAGTTGAGTGTTCTTCTCATCCATTTATGTGTGACAAAGCAGCGATCTACGGCTCAAAGAGACGACCTCATGACTAAAACGAAGGCTTCAAAGTTCCGAAAATGGTGGAATCGCACCACGGCACAACTTGGAAAACTGCATGTTGCCGAGGGTGGGGTGCATGATTAGTGCTTTGCTTAGTAGTGCTCCTCTCTCATCAATGCCGTCTCTGATGGACATTTACAGTAGGATGTAAGGTTGGAACATCACTGCTAGCTACACTGTAGCTAGGACACCGCCCTGCCTTTAAATAAAGCTGTAATCCATTTCGATGGGCAAACATGGCACGTGTCGTATCCTGCCTAGTCAGGGCGTCATTTCGTACAGTAACGTGGCACTGCACTCTGGGTTCAGGAGCTTGCGCTTCTGAACCACTGAGATGCAACCCATGTTTCCTCAGTGGGCATTCTTTCTGTGGGAGAACGGGAACGATGAGGTTAGTAGTAGCCGCGCTCCTCGCGCGCAGCGGCGGGGGAAAGGACTCGCGAGAGTGAGGGGGACGGGGATACTTCGGACGGAGAGTTTCGCGACTTTTCGCAGGCCCTGTAAGAGGGTAGCAAGTTACCCCCGAGGGTCGGTCGGGATACCGCCCTCGGACTTTTATCTCGCCGGATTTCCAGCCGGCGCGTCGCGCGGATAATTTCCCTTTTTTCCCAGATTTAGGGCTAAACAAATAAACTTCAATTTCTATATTCCCAAACACCCCCTGTTGGCCCTAAAATTAGGGCACGCAGCGCCGGCTGATCCGCCGTCGGCGCCAACCCTATATGATCTGAGGCCGCGCCGTCGCCGCTCGACTTCCGATCCATTGTCCTGGCGAAGCAGCCTTCCGGATTTGCCTAGGATAAGAGCGCTCGCTTGTCGAGTTATTCCCCTTCTCTCGCGGAGCCCTTTCGGACCCCCAAATCCAGCGCGGACCAACAGCTTCCGGGAGCCACCGCCTGTGCGCCACCGCAAGTCCTCGCCATACAACAGTTCCGCGTCCGTGTCCGCTCGATCTCGCGCACTGCATCGCTGCTCCGCCGCTCGACGTTTCGCACCGCTTCACCGCTCTGCCGGTTGACCTCGCGCATTGCATCACCGCTCCGCTTCTTCATCATCACTCCCGCGCGCCGTTGCTTCCCCACCTTCCAGCTTCCACCAACGACGGGTCACTTCCTCCGCGAGTCAGCGTGCGACCTCCTGGAACCTACAGAGAGCCGGCAGGCCAAGGATCGGGGGTCGTGCACTCTCTCGCGTGATGGTTGGCCTGTCGCTCGTGGAGGGTGAGGGGAAGCTCGCGGTCGAGGCCATGGCTTGGCTCGGGGGGAAATGGAAGTACAGTGAGGCCCTTGTAGTGGCCTGGGGCACGGAGCTGACCTTCAGTCGAGAACGATTCGTCCAGAAGCTGAGCATCGGGACAAGAACTTCGGAGGTTTTTCTGGACTGGTTGTCGAAAAGGAAGGGAAGGAAGGTCGAGGTTGTGACCTTGGCGAGGTGGGGCTTGCTTAACGCAATAGGCGCTTCGGAGCACGAGCAGCGCCGTTGGGAGGTTCGAAGGGTGGTATTGGCCTCGGGTAGTACGCACGGCTTCCGTGCGGGTCAGTACTACGCATCGCATCGAAGCGTTGGCGGGCGGAAGACCTTCTAGAGGGTGGACTTTCATACTTTCGAGGCGAATGCGGTGTCGGTACTCGATTCGGCAGGGAACCCGGTCACTACCGATATAGAAGTAACTCGTCCGGACGGGCAAGGTAGCTCCGAGGTTGAGCTCGTGTTCGGTACTCAGAAGACAGCCCAAGCATTGGAGTGGCTGGACCAGTATTGCACCAGCCATCCAGACGAGTTCGTGGGTATTGGGGGTCCCGGTCATCTTGAGGCCACGAAACTGACTAGGCCTTATCGTACGCACCGAGCACTCTTCTGCCGCGCAACACACAGCGAGTGCGTGCGTGCTTCGTTCGCTAACGCGCTGCACTCCGTTGTAGGAGAGAGTCCGGCACTTGGAATGCTCCATAAGGGACCTTTCAGAGTTCGAAGCTTCGCAGAGTTGCAAATCTGGTATGAGAAAAACCTTGGGAGGTACCGCCTGAAAAAGTTCAGCGTCTCCGTCTTGGAAAGCCACAGCAAGTGGATGAGGGACAGTGTGGACGGCACCTTCTTGATCCGAATCGTTGTTCTGGACGATCTAGGCGAGCGCTTGGACCACGTGGTGGTTCTTGACGCCGAAAAGGGCCACGTTTTTGATCCTGTCGAGCGCTTTGCGCTTGCAAATCGCCCCGGTGTGCTGGGTGCATGCCGTGGAGTTGGTTGCGATTCATTTGATATTGCAGAAGTTCGGAAGCTTGAATTGCAGCCTGTCGGGAAGGGCAAGAAAAATCGCAAGAGGTCTGGTAAAGCTCGGAGTGATCGTAGGAAGAAAAAAGTTCCCTTGGAACATGATATTAGTGAGAGAAGGAAGAAGAGGACGAAGGTAGTGGAGGACGACAGCGAGTAAAGGAGCCCGAGAATTACATTGAGGCACTCGATGCTCTCTTGATCCGCTGTGAGCCTTGATGAACCTCGCCCTGCAGAAGACCTCTCTGTATGATTCCATTAAGAATCTTGAACATCCCGACGTTTCTCTTGGTTAATGCGTCGGCATATCCTGTCTTCCCGTATGAGGAGCTACCTTGACTGGCGTCTGAGAAAGCGAGGTAGGAAGGATTCAAGAGAGACGACGGTGTTCGAAATAAGAGGATCGGCGAAAGCGCTTTGATTTCGCCAAGCAACTTGTTTCCATTCATGAGATCGGCCACCTTCAAGTACCCAACAGCTTGCTGAAGGTAGCTAGCTGCGAATGCCGCTTGTGGGAGAATGCCGTGACCAAGGAAGTTTAGACTTCCTGCAAGGGCTTGATACGCTGTCAACTTGGAAGCAGTGCACTTGTCTTGGTGCTGTCTTCTCCTTTCCTTTGACACTTCAATTGGAACGATTTCGTCCACGTACTCCTGCATATTAATGCTCACGGACCCGCAAGGCTCTTGGTGGATATTAAGACGATTGAAGACCAAGTCCTTGTTCACGACGTACCGTCCGACGATGAACCTGTGAGATATGGCTTCGTGAAATTGGTGAATGAGGGGAAGAACACCAACCACAAGGAAGTCATCGACAATTTTTGCAACAAGTAGGTCTATTGATTCCTTGGGATTATATTTCACGAAGAGTTGGTGAAGACCAGGTATTTGTACGAGTCCTTGTTTGGACATTCATTCTTCGGCAACGAGTTGCCATAGGCGTCCGGATTCGACAATCCCGTAGGCCGGCTTGAGGATCTTCCAGACTGTGCGGACGGACGAAGCCCAACCTTTGGGTGGCCTGACATATATGGCTCTGGGAAACTGACCAGCCTGCAAGTATGCTCCCTTGATGTCTATTGAGGCGATTGAGAAAGACATTATCGCCGCAAGGGAGATCACGATCCTAATGATTGGGAACTGAGCTGTAGCAGAGTCCTTGCGGACAAATTCCTTGTCTCGATCCCTATTCCCGTGTGGGACAAGGCGACACTTCAGCTTCAGCTTTCCTCCTTCTCTGTCGGTCTTGACTTGGAAGAAGTGGTGGGAGGATATCACATTGGCATTTCGTGGGAGTTCCCCAAACGAAACTTCCTTGTATGCCTCGGCTTGTGCGTAGTTCTTCTTCTCTTCGGCTATGGCCTGATCGACGATCCATCGCAGAGCAAATTGGAGTTTGAATTCAGAGGTGGGCTTATTCCCAACTACCTCTTGAATTTGTTGAAGGACCTTTTGCTTCTACGATGCAAGGTGAAAAGGTAAATTCGAAGGAGCTACGACTGCAGTGTTCCCTTTGTCTTTCTCCGGCTGTGGGGGCTCGTGTGTTGAGTTTAAATCGAGACTCCTGGTTGGAGCTGAGACTGGATACCGTGTTCCAAACAAGGAGTTGCAGCGATTGACAGACTTTAGATTGACGTCGAGCAGAGGGTTGTTCAACCTCGTCGGCTTCGAGGATGCTAGTAAGCTCCTTGATGTCGGGCGGGAGGCCCACAGGGCCTCTTCTTCCCTGAACTCAGAGATGTCCGTCGGATCGCCAGGGGCTCCAAGTCGGGGAGGCTGGCTTGATTCGCCGCTTCTCCCCGGTTTGCAGACGCTTCCGGTCTGTTTGGTGGCAACACGTCATCCAAATTCCGCACATCTTCTAACTCCGAGAAGATCGGGGGAGGTGCCGATGTTGGAGGGAACATGCCTTCTTCAAAGTCCTCATTAATGACGGAGTATGACAGCGGGAATACGAAGTCCATGTCATCAAACTAAGCCAGTAGAGGAGCGGACGGGGCTTTCCGGACATCCTCATATGCCGCCCTTATGAGCTTGCCAATATGGTCTTGTCGCCTTGAAAGGACAACGAAGTGAGACTGTGGGTTCCGCACGTAGGCGTGCTCCCACGATCTAACCTTGGGACCTCGCTTGAAGAAATACACAGGGTCATCACGTGATAGCTGATCAGCCTGAACCACTTGTGGAGATCGGGACTTATCGAGAAGTCTCAAAGCTCTTCGTGCCACTTGCTCGTTATGCGCAGTGATGAGATCAGCAGACAGCTTGGCTTGGGGA